TCTGAGTCCTTCCTCCCTGCAACATCCAATTAGCTACAGCAATAGCATTTAAGTCTATATTGCTTTTACTGCCTCTTTAAGCAGTTGACAGAGTCAGCCTATTGCCCCCAACAATCTGGGTTCTCATTTGACCAACTTCAGAAGGATGGGAGGCTGAGTCAACTTTGAGCTGGTCAGGATCGAACTGCTGGCAGTGGGCAGAGTTAGCCGGCAATACTGCATTCTAACCACTGCACCACCATGGATGGATAGATGGATGGATGGATGGGATGGATGGGATGGAAGGAAGAAGGAAGGAAAGGAAGGGAAGAAGGAAGGAAGGAAGGAAGGAATAGCAATAGCACTTAGACTTATATACCACTTCATAGTGCTTTTACAGCCCTCTCTAAGCGGTTTACAGAGTCAGCATATTGCCCTCAACAATTTGGGTCCTCATTTTACCCATCTCGGAAGAACCAGTTAAGATCGATCTCCTGGCATCAGTAGACTCAGCCTGCAATACTGCATTCTAACCACTGCGCCACCACAGCTCCTAATGCAACATCCAATCAGCTACAGCAATAGCATTTAGACTTATATACTGCTTCACAGTGCTTTTACAGCCCTCTCTAAGCGGTTTACAGAGTCAGCCTATTGCCCCCAACAATCTGGGTTCTCATTTTACCCACTTCAGAAGGATGGGAGGCTGAGTCAACTTTGAGCCGGTCAGGATCGAACTGCTGGCAGTCGGCAGAATTAGCCGGCAATACTGCATTCTAACCACTGCGCCACCGTGGCTTCGATAGATATATGGAGAGATGGAGAGATGAATAGATAGACAAAAAGATAGAGAGATAGATAGATAGACAGACAGACAGACAGATAATGGACAGACAGACAGGTAGATAGATAGATAGAGCAATAGCAATAGCACAGTTTTATATACCACTTTACAGTGCTTTTACAGCCCTCTGTAAGCAGTTTACAGAGTCAGCCTGTTGCCCCTAACAATCTGGGTCCTCATTTTACCGATCTCGGAAGGATGGAAGGCCAAGTCAACCTTGAGCCCGGTGAGATTCGATCTGCCGAACTGCTGACAGCCGGCGATCAGCAGAAGTAGCCTGCAGTACTGCACTCTAACCACTGCACCACCACGGCTCTCTATGATATTCATGCCTCTTTCAAGAGAGGTTGACTCTGAATGGTTTCTGACTCCTCCGTGGCACGAACCTGGGTGGTCTCCTTCCCAACCAAAACATTGGAGTCATCAAAGTTATTTGCCGCGGCTTTCCAGGTGCGTTCCAAACCTTCTTCCCGAGCCTTGGTGAGCTAGCGATGGAGCCCTCTTCTTCCATATGTAAAAATTAACATTTGAAGGCCTGCTGGGAAGCAATTATGCTTTTGTGTATTGTTTTTTTTTTTTTTTTGCAAAGGAAACCATCTCTCTGTTCTGGATACTGGTTGGAGAGCTCCAGGGAGCCTTTCTCCATGACCTCTATTGAGAGATTTGGAAAACAGGGCTTTTTACCTTGATGTGGTAGGGCCCCCTTTTCTCCTGCGAATCAGCTCGGATTTCTTTTTGAACCCGAAAAAGAGGAAATATTATCACCACACTTGCGTCTCAAAGCTCAAGGAGTGGGTTATAATAAATCTATGATCATATTCAAATTCCAGCATCAAAAAGCTTGCGGTCTTCGCCAAGGCATGTTGAGCGTTTTCCCAGTAGGACTTTACCCTGGACAGGAAGCTTAAATGATTTGCCTGCTGCTCCGAACTCTTCCAGCTCTTCTGCTTTTCTTTGGCCTGGGGAAGGTCTTCTTCTTCTGGAAAGGATTCTGGTTAGCTTCTCTCATCGCCCTGTGATCCCCTTCCTGAGCTTCTGAAGGCATTTTGAGGTCAGATTCAGGTGGTCTCCTGAAGAAAGAGGGTTGAGGAACCTGGATCTCATCACCCTGTGATCCCCTTCCTAAGCTTTTGAAGGCATTTTGAGGTCAGATTCAGGTGGTCTTTTGAACAAGGAGGGTTGTGGAATCTGGATCTCATCACCCTGTAATCCCCTTCCTGAGCTTCTGAAGGCATTTTGAGGTCAGATTCAGGTGGTCTCCTGAAGAAAGAGGGTTGAGGAACCTGGATCTCATCACCCTGTGATCCCCTTCCTAAGCTTTTGAAGGCATTTTGAGGTCAGATTCAGGTGGTCTTTTGGACAACGAGGGTTGTGGAACCTGGATCTCATCACCCTGTGATCCCCTTCCTAAGCTTTTGAAGACATTTTGAGGTCAGATTCAGGTGGTCTCCTGAAGAACGAGGATTGAAGAACCTGGATCTTATTGCCCTGTAATCCCCTTCCTGAACTTTTGAAGCCATCTTGAGGTCAGATTCAGGTGGTCTTTTGAACAACGAGGGTTGAGGAACCTGGATCTCATCACCCTGTGATCCCCTTCCTAAGCTTTTGAAGACATTTTGAGGTCAAATCAGGTGACATGCCAAACAATTAGGATTGAAGATCGTGGATTATTCCATATGTTTAAACGGCTTATACCAAGCTTCTAAGGGACGCTGTGGCTCAGTGGCTAAGATGCTGAGCTTGTTGATCGAAAGGTCGGCAGTTCAGCGGTTCGAATCCCTAGTGCTGCGTAACGGGGTGAGCTCCCATGACTTGTCCCAGCTTCTGCCAACCTAGCAGTTCGAAAGCAGGTAAAAAATGCAAGTAGAAAAAACAGGGACCACCTTTGGTGGGAAGGTCACAGCATTGTGTGCGCCTTTGGCATTGAGTCATGCCGGCCACATGACCACGGAGACGTCTTCGGACAGCGCTGGCTCTTCGGCTTTGAAACGGAGATGAGCACCGCCCCCTAGAGTCGGGAACGACTAGCACGCGTGCACGGGGGAACCTTTACCTTTACCGAGCTGCTATCAGCTTCTACCAAGGGAATTGACATGGGCCAAGAACTGGGAGGTCCTGAATTCCCGGTTTCAATTTCATACCGTTTCCCCACCCCCACCAGATAGCATGTGTTTTTCCTTTCCTTTTAAGTGCAGAGTGTGCATTGCATCCTTGATATGTAGTATGCTTTGCTTTCCTCAGATCCTCTGAACCGTATTTTATTATCCATACATTTGTTGAAGCAGCCAAGAGCCAGCTTCTGCAGGAGGGGCTGTGTGTTTTCTCTCACACACACCCTTCAATTTACAGCTGTGCAGCACAGATGGTAGTACACACAAACACACAGAGAGAGAAACAGACACAGAGACACACACACACACACAGAGAGACACACACACACAGAGACACACAGAGAGAGACAGACAGACACACACACAGAGAGAGAGAGAGAGAGGCAGACAGAGACAGAGAGAGAGAAAGAGAGACAGACACAGAGAGAGAAAAAGACAGAGAGAAACAGAGAGAGAGACACACATACAGAGAGAGAGAGAGAGAGACAGGCAGAGAGACAGAGAGTGACAGAGAGAGAGAGAAACAGAGAGATACACACATACAGAGAGAAACAGAGAGAGAGAGAGACACACAGAGAGAGAGAGACAGAGAGAGACAGAGAGAGAGAGAAACAGAGAGAGATACACACATACAGAGAGAAACAGAGAGAGGGAGAGAGAGAGACAGAGACAGAGAGTGACAGAGAGAGAAAGAGAGACAGACACAGAGAGACAGAGAGACAGAGAGAGCGACAGAGAGAGAGAGAGACAGGCAGAGAGACAGAGAGTGACAGAGAGAGAGACAGACACAGAGAGAGAAAGAGAGAGAGACAGACACAGAGAGAAAGAGACAGACAGAGAGAAAGAGACACAGAGAGAGAGAGACAGAGAGAGAGAGAAACAGAGAGAGATAGACACATACAGAGAGACAGAGAGAGGGAGAGAGAGAGACAGAGACAGAGAGTGACAGAGAGAGAAAGAGAGACAGACACAGAGAGAGAGAGAGAGACAGAGAGAGCGACAGAGAGAGAGAGAGACAGGCAGAGAGACAGAGAGACAGAGAGAGAGACAGACACAGAGAGAGAAAGAGAGAGAGACAGACACAGAGAGAAAGAGACAGACAGAGAGAAAGAGACACAGAGAGAGAGAGACAGAGAGAGAGAGAAACAGAGAGATACAGAGAGACAGAGAGAGGGAGAGAGACAGAGAGTGACAGAGAGAGAGACAGACAGACACAAAGAGAGAAAGAGAGAGAGACAGAGACAGAGAGAGAGAGACAGAGAGACAGAGAGAGAGAGGGAATATACTTTAAGAGAAGATATTTCATTTCTGAGCTTGACGATGTGCCACTGACAGAGGGAATCCCCAGCACATTAAAAATGCCTCTCGGCATCCTTAATTCATCCCCCCCCCCAATCCCTGAATGTTTTTTTTTTCTTGATGTGGTTTTTAAAATCCAGATGCACCTTGGCATAAGTGTTGTGGCCTTCTTCTTCATCTCCTTTCTATTTCCCACCCAGAAATTGGGGCCCTCTCAATGGCCATTCCTTGAACCAATTAAGGAATCATTCTTTGAACATCCCCTGCAATTTGAGGTGGTTCTTTCATCATTGATCTTCAAGAGGCTAGTCCTTAGGATTAAGCAAGCCAGAAATTGGGTGAACACACATTGCATGTGTGAAGACAGCTTTTCTGCTTTGTCTTGGGAGAGAGAGAGAGGGAGGGAGGGAGGAAGCTCAGAGGAAGGAAGTGAAGGGGAAGGAGAGGGAGAGAGGGAGGAGAAAGGAAGGGGAAGGAAAGGGAAGAGAAGGAAGGAAGGAAAGAGGGAAGGAAGGAAGAATGGACAGACGGAAGGAGGAGTGGAAGGGGAAGGAAGGAAGGAAAGGGAGAGAGGGAAGGAGAAAGGAAGAGGAAGGAAAGGAAAGAGAAGGAAGGAAAGAGGGAAGGAAGGACTTGGAAGGAGGAATGGAAGGGGAAGGAAGGGCGGGAAGAGGGAGGAAGGTAGGAAAGAAGGAAGGAAGGAGGAGTGGAAGGGGGGGAAGGAAGGAAGGAGAGGGAGAAAGGGAGGAGAAAGGAAGAGGAAGGAAAGGAAAGAGAAGGAAGGAAGGAAAGAGGGAAGGAAGGAAGGATGGACAGATGGAAGGAGGAGTGGAAGGGGAAGGAAGGAAGGAGAGGGAGAGAGGGAAGGAGAAAGGAAGAGGAAGGAAAGAGAAGGAAGGAAGGAAAGAGGGAAGGAAGGACTTGGAAGGAGGAATGGAAGGGGAAGGGAGGGAGGAGGGAGGAAGGAAGGAGGAATGGAAGGGGAAGGAAGGGAGGAGGGAGGGAGAGAGGGAGGAGAAAGGAAGGGGAAGGAAAGGGAAGAGAAGGAAGGAAGGACTTGGAAGGAGGAATGGAAGGAGGAGGAAGGAAGGAAGGAAGGAAGGAAGGAAGGAAGGAAGGAAGGAAGGAAGGAAGGAAGGAAGGAAGGAAGATTTTAACTCATCCTAAACATGAAGTATGAAAAAAAAGTTTCTTTCAGGACACGGAAAAAAAAAATTGAGAAGAAGAAAATCACATTTAGGTGAAATGACGGTGCTCTTTGGGATATTACCATCCTACCAGCTTATTCCCTACCTTGGAAGTCTGATTATCCTACTCTAACTGAGAACTTTTTCTTTCCCTCTCTTAACAGCTGTGTCCCCCATTCTTGCAAGACCATGGACTGCCAAAAGCTGGACATTGAGAACGCCATGCTGACTTTCACCGACGGAGGGCACTACAATGGCGCCCAGTGTAACGTTACCTGCCGAACAGGTTATGTCCTCCAGGCTCACGGAACCAACAATCTGCCCCAGAGCCAGGTTGGTGGAACTGGTATATATACCAGTTAATTGTTCTCACTGTCTGGAAATTTCTCCTTAGTTCTAAGTTGCTTCTCTCCTTGATTAGTTTCCACCCATTGCTTCTTGTCCTACTCTCAGGTGCTTTGGAGAATAGCTTGACTCCCTCTTCTTTGTGGCAGCCTCTGAAATATTGGAAGACTGCTATCATGTCTCCCCCTAGTCCTTAACAGAATAAAAGAGTTGGAAGGGACCTTGGAGGTCTTCCAGTCCAGCCCCCTGCTCAAACAGGAGACCCGATGTCATTCTGGACCAATGGTGTCCAATATCTTTCTGAAAACCTGCAGTGATGGAGCACCCACAATTTCTGGTGGCAAGCTGTTCCACTGGTTCATTGTTCTCACCGTCTTAGGAAATTTCTCCTGAAGTTCTAAGTTGCTCCTCCCCTTGATTAGTTTCCACCCGTTGCTTCTTGTCCTGCCCTCGGGTGCTTTGGAGCAGGGGGTCTCCAACCTTGGCCACTTGAAGGCTTGCGGACTTCAACTCTCAGAATTCCTCAGCCAGCTTTGGAATTCTGGGAGTTGACGTCCACAAGCCTTCAAGTGGCCAAGGTTGGAGATCCTTGCTTTGGAGAATAGCTTGACTCCCTCTTCTTTGTGGCCGCCCCTGAGATATTGGAAGACTGCTATCATGTCTCCCCTGGTCCTTCTCTTCTCTAGACTAGCCAGGCCCAGTTCCTGCAACCGTTCTTCATATTCCTGACTTCACCGGCAGACGCCAAGAGAATACCAAGGGATTCAAGCAGAGCTTTCCCCCCCCCACCCTTTTTGCAATGAGCGTCGCAAATAAATAAACCCTAAAACACACACGGCGGCGGGAGAGGAGAAAATAAATGTAGGAGGAGAACCAGGGTATGTGTGTGTGAAATCTCCCTCCCTCGAGAACAGCAAGAGGCTGTTTGTTATGATGTCTTTGGGGGGGAGAGTCTGGCGGATGTCTTCGACCTCTGCTATCACCATCCAAATTAAGGGTGCTTTCTTTTGGCAGCCAGCAGAGACCCGATTTGTCTCGGGGGGGGGGGTCAGGAGCGTGGCGTCTTCCGTAAGAAACGGGGAAGATATGTTGAGTTTTCTCGATTTAGAAGAGCGAGTTCAACCATCTGGGCCTCTGTTGCGGGAGATTTTTTTTACCCTAACACGGCCCCAGCACTGACTAGCTTCTTTCTCTTCCAGGAGAAAGTTGGCTGTTTCTTTTCCTTCTCCGACCTGCCCTCCCCAATACACAAACACACACACACACACACACACACAAACACCGCACCCAAGCCCGAATGGCTTGTTTTTATTTCTCTCTCTTGCGGGCTCTTTGCAGCCAAAGAGAATCCAGAGTTTTTCAGAAAGAAAGAAAGAAAGAAAGAAAGAAAGAAAGAAAGAAGAAGAATCGGATAGTTTCCCCCAATTATTTCCTCTGTATGTGTGTGTGTGTGTGTGTGTGCGTGTGCAAGCAGCAAAAATGTTTGTGTGCACGTGCCAATCTTAATTTGGCACCGACTCTGTGCTATCAGCATACCCGTGGACTGCACTGGAGGTTCTCCATTGCTTATGGTTTGCAAAAGACTCCGACTTTTCCTGAAGTTGGGACGAGAGAGAGAAGGGGGGGGGAGAAAAGACAGAAGTGGGAAGGAAGAGAGAGGTGGGGAAAGGGAGAGAGAGGAGAGAGAGGGAGGGAAGGGAGGGAAGGAAGAAAGAGGAAAGGAAGGAGGAGAGAGAAAAGGAAGGAAGAGAGAAGAAAAGGGAGAAAAGGGAAGGGAGAGAGAGGGGGAAGGAAAAGACGGAAGGGAGGGAGGGAAGGGAGGGAAGGAAGAAAGAGGAAAGGAAGAAGGGAGAGAGAAAAGGAAGGAAGAGAGAAGAAAAGGGAGAAAAGGGAAGGGAGAGAGAGGGGGGAAAGGAAAAGACAGGCAGGAAGGGAGAGAGAGGGGGGAAGGGAGAGAGAGAAGGAAGGAAGACAGAGGGAGGGGGAAGGGAGGGAAGGAATAAAGGAAAGGAAGAAGGGAGAGAGAAAAGGAAGGAAGAGAGAAGAAAAGGGAGAAAAGGGAAGGGAGAGAGAGGGGGAAGGAAAAGACGGAAGGCAGGGAGGGAAGGGAGGGAAGGAAGAAAGAGGAAAGGAAGAAGGGAGAGAGAAAAGGAAGGAAGAGAGAAGAAAAGGGAGAAAAGGGAAGGGAGAGAGGGGGAAAAGGAAAAGACAGGCTGGAAGGGAGAGAGAGGGGGGAAAGGGAGAGAGAGAAGGAAGGGAGAGAGGGAGGGAGGGAAGGGAGAGAGGGGGGAAAGGAAGAGAGAGGAAAGGAAGGAGGGAGAGAGAGGAAAGGAAGGAAGAGAGAGAGAAGGAAATGGAGAAAGAAGGAACGGAGAGGGGGAGGAAAAGAGGGGAAGGGAGAGGGAGGGGGAGGGGGAAAGGGAGAGAGAAAGAAGGGAGAGAGGGAGAGAGGGAAGGAAGAGGGGGGAAGGAAGAGAGAGGAAAGGAGGGAGAGAGTAAACGAAGGAAGAGAGAGTGAAGGAAAGGAAGGAAGAGAGAGAAGGAAAGAGAAAGAGGGAAGGGAGAGAGAGGGCAAAGGGAGAGAGTCAGAATGAAGACAGAGAAAAGGAAAAAAAGGAGAGAGAGAAGGAAGGAAGAGGGAAGGAAGAGAAAGAGAAAGAAGGAAGAAGGGAGGAAGGAAAAGGGGAGGGCAGGGAGAGAGATGGGAGAAGGAATAGAGAGAGAGATAGAGAGACTGCTTAATTTAGTGGCACGCCAAAAAGGATCGCGATTCCCTCCCAGCTCTGCCCCATGGCTTGGATTTCCACATGTTTAGCCCCATAGCAGAAGGCCCCCTGTGACCGAGCCCTTTCCGCAGAGCAGAAAGCTGGTTCTGCAAGGAGGCTGAGATGGATGGATGGATGGATGGATGGATGGATGGATGGAAGGAAGGAAGGAAGGAAGGAAGGAAGGAAGGAAGGAAGGAAGGCTGAAGAATCCAGAGAATGTGAGAGTCCACTAACTAAATACAGCTGGCTTGTAGGTTTCACCAGCAGAGAAAGTGTGTGTGTGTGTGTGTGTGTGTGTGTTCATGTGTTTGTGTTGATGTTAAGAACAAGAGCCAACTTATGTGCCTGGTTTTGATCAAGGGGTTTCGTCTCCAAAGCAAATAGGGATGCTGGGTTAATTTCATCACCCTGCCCTACTCTGCTTGCTCGGTTTGGAGTGGGCCAACTCGCCACGGCCAACTCGCCGTGGGGCAGTTTAACGATTCAATTTAATTACTTGAAATAAATCAATAAAAAAAATGAATTTTTGTCATTCACATTTCATCCTGTCTCTCCTTTTTCATCCTTTCTTTAATGATTCTGTTCCACTCTTTCTTGGATATTAGTGTAACTCTTGTCCTTGGCCATGGTGAGTTGGCCGTGGTGAGTTGGCCGTGGTGAGTTGGTTGTGGCGAGTTGGCAATGGTGAATTGGTCATGGAGAGTTGGCCATGGTGAGTTGGCAATGGTGAGTTGGTTGTGGTGAGTTGGTCATGAGTTGGCCATGGAGAGTGGGTCATGGAGAGTTGGTTGAGTTGGCCATGGTGAATTGGTCATGGAGAGTTGGCCATGGTGAGTTGGCAATGGTGAGTTGGTTGTGGTGAGTTGGTCATGGTGAGTTGGCTGTGGTGAGTTGGTCATGGAGAGTTGGTCATGGAGAGTTGGTCATGGTGAGTTGGCAATGGTGAGTTGGTTGTGGAGTTGGCAATGGTGAATTGGTCATGGAGAGTTGGCCATGGTGAGTTGGCAATGGTGAGTTGGTCATGGAGAGTTGGCCATGGAGAGTTGTCCATGGAGAGTTGGTCATGGAGAGTTGGCCGTGGTGAGTTGGTTGTGATGAGTTGGCTATGACGAATTGTCATAGACCCTGCTCAATTGTACCACAGCTCCATTGTAGCTCTGGGATGGCAGTGATGCCCCATCACATCTGGAGTTGGAGGTTGTGGCAAACATCTCAGCAAATGTTCCCATGTGTCACTCCAGGTCAGGAGTGCCCAACATATACATATACATATATACACATACACATACACACACACACACACACACATACACATACATACACATCACACACACATACACATACATACCATGTTTCCCGAAAACTAAGACCCTGTCTTATATTTTGTTGAATCCAGAAATAAGCACTTGGTCTTATTTTCGGGGAGGTCTTATTATTTTGGGGCTTGTGGAGCAAGACGGGGCTCCT